CACTTTATTTCCTATGAAAACATTTCACCCTCTTTTTGGGCCTTTCTCACTTCCATTGACAATATTCCTATCCCTAAGAATGTGGCAGAAGCTCTTTTAGTATGATGCTATGAAGGAAGAAATTAATGCTCTACATAAAAATGGCACATGAAAACTAGTAGATCTTCCTAAGGGAAAGGATCCAGTGGGATGTAAATGGGTGTTCACAGTCAAACATAGGGTTGATGGCACTGTGGAGAGGTATAAAGCTCGTTTAGTGGCAAAGGGGTTTACACAAGTGTATGGAGTTGATTATGTAGAGACTTTTGCACCCGTTGCCAAGATGAACTACATTAGAGTCATGTTCTCCCTTGCTGCTAATCTTGACTGGGATCTACATCAACTTGATATCGAGAATGCATTCCTGAATGATGACCTTGAAGAGGAAGTTTACATGGTACAACCCCCTGGTTTTCGGGCTCAAGGCAATGAACGGAAAGTGTACAGGTTGAAGAAGTCTTTATACGGGATGAAACAATCACCGAGAGCCTGGTTTAGCAGGTTCCATGTAGCGGTTCAGCAGAAAGGATACAAGCAATGTCAATATGATCACACATTGTTTGTGAAAAGAAGAGAAGGGAAAATCGTTGCTCTGATAGTATATGTTGATGATATAATTATCACTGGCGATTGGAAGAATGAAATCCAAAAGTTGAAGATTTTTCTTGCTACACAGTTTGAAGTAAATGATCTAGGTCCTCTAAGATACTTTCTTGGAATTGAAGTTGCCCACTCACAAAAGGGTATCTTCATTTCCCAAAGGAAGTATCTCCTAAATCTACTCTAGGATACAGAACAATTAAGAGTGAAGCCAGTTGATTCCCTTATTGATCCTAACCACAAATTATGTGACTGCCAAGGTGAACCTATCAAGGATGCGAAACAGTTTCAGAGACTTATAGAAAGATTGTTATATCTTATTATGACCCGCATCGACATTGCTTGTGCAATTGGTGTTCTTAGCCAATTCATACATGCTCACAAGACCACTCACCTTGAAGTAGCAGAAAGAGTTCTTAGATATCTTAAGAAGTTCCCAGGCACTGGTTTGTTGTTTCAAAAGCACAGACATCTGAAAGTTGAAGTGTATACTGATGCAGATTGGGTAGGACCCCTAAATGATAGAAAGTCAACTAGTGGCTACTGTGCCTTCATAGAAGGAAACCTAGTTACCTATAGGGGTGTCCACGGTTCGGTTAATCGAACCATGGCACTTTTTTATAAACCGAATTGGTGGTATCGATTTTTCCAATTCTCCAAACCGAAACCAAATCCGTACCACCGGTTTGCTAGTTTCGATTTTTGACTGGTTTGATTCTTTGATTTTTTGGTTTTTCGGTTTTTTATATGTATAATATATATTATACAAATATATATGATGTGGCCCATTGTGAGACTAACAAGTGCACTAGCCGTTCAAGTAGTAAAGTAGTGAATAAAGTATCGTTCCCGCGAGGATTTAGGAAACAATTACCAATACTAAATTGGGCACTTCTTATCTGATCAACAATAAATCAAAATTTTATTCAAAAACTAAAAATCCTAAACTAAAACCTATCTAAATTATTGGCTCAATTGCCTTCAATTCAAGTTAGAAGAGTAAGCAATTAATGTTAATCTCAGAATTTAGCAATCAATCAAATTGAATCATTCGAATAAATTGTGATTAAGCATTGGTTTGGTAAAACCCCAAGGTCATGAACAACCTCTTTCGAGTGCATGTTCATCCTATGTATTAGTGATGATCCCCATATCTCTATCAATGATCTAATCCCATGCATGCACTTCTTCAAACACTTCTAAGGTATCAATTCAAATCTGAATTGATCACCAACTGAATTGTGCAAGTTATCTCTAACCTTGCATCCAACTCAGTTCTTGAATAGTAGATCTGAATTCCTATAGTCTTTCTCAAGCACTCTAAGAATTCCAAGCTTAGATCAATTCGGCCAATTTGAAAATTTGTGGATCTGAATTCTATTTCAAGCAATTCAGATCTTGCAATCTCAKATCTGAGAATTCAGATCTGAGTTTTGAAAGTTTAATTGGCTGAATTGATCTACAATTAACCCCTAATCAAGAAACTTTAAGAACAATTCACACCTATTCGAATGAATAAAAAAGAAATTGTTTGCTGAACTGAAAATTTACAAACTTAATTACATTAAGAAAGAATGAAAGAAGGAGAAAGAAAAGAAAATTACAACAAAGAAGCTGAATTCAAATCAAAGGAAAATGAAACTAGAATGGAATTATTACAATAGATCTCTGAATAAAAAATCCCCAATTTCGAATTCACCTTCTCTTCTTGCTAGTTTCACTTGAACTCCTTCAACCCTTCTTCTTCTCTTCCTTGCGCCTAGCCCTTCTTCTCTTTTCTTCTCTTATCTTCAAGGTGTTGGAACCTTTAGGAGTGGAAGAGCCCTTCTCTCAAGCAATTGAACACCTTCCCCCCTTCTAGAGGCCTCCTTATATAGATTTTCAAAGAGGCTCTTGCCCCTTCTTGAAGCCTCTAGAATTTTGAACTTTCTAGAGTTCTCTTGAAAGCCTTCTAAGAGTTGCCACCCATAGCTCTTTGAGCTACTATTTGGGCTGCACTTAGACTCCCTCTTAGCACATGATAGTTACACTCTAGGTTGCTCTTTTGGGCTGAGAATGGGCATTCTCTACTGGGCCGAATTTTACTCTTTGCTAGGTTTTTTTTCTTGGGTTTTTTCAAGAAATCGACTTGTTTTTCTTGGGCCGAAGTGTGCTTTCTTGCTTCCATAACTGGGCTGGGCTGAATTTGGTCTTTTTAGACATTATTTTCTTGCCTTTTTATTTCTTTTTCTTGGATTAATTACCCCTGAAATCTTTTTTTTATCATTAAACTAAATTAGGGCAAAATTAAATAAAAATGACATAAAAATCTATGCAAATACCTCATAAATTATAGATAAATTGTATGCTCATCAATATATATATAATATTATGTTATAAATAATAAATGATAATATAATATATTGTAAATATATAATATATATATAATATAATATATTTATAAATAGATCATTATAAATATAATATAAGTATATATTTATATATATAATGAATATATATTTATATATAATACATAGAAAATATGTGACATATATTAAAAGTATATATAAAATATACATAAAAAATATATACTAGTTAGTTCGGTTAACCGTCGGTTTTTTTGTAGGTTAACCAAAAACTGAACTGATCGGTTCGGTTTTTCGGTTTTTCATGGACACCCCTAGTTACTTGGAGAAACAAAAAGAAGAATGTGGTAGCTAGATGTAGTGCTGAAGCTGAATATCGGACAATGGCTCATAGAGTGGCTAAAGAATCTGTTGAGTGAGTTGGGTTTTATAGTGAACAGGCCTATGATCCTATTCTGTGATAACAAAGCAGCCATAAACATTGCTGCTAATGCAATGCTGCATGATAGAACTAAACACATCGAAGTCGACAAACACTTTATCAGAGAGAAAGTTATTACAGGGGAAGTGTGTACTCCTTGTGTCAGCTCTGAGGATCAACTTGCGGACATCTTTACAAAAGGGCTACACCATTCATGGCATTATGACTTGTGTGACAAGTTGGGCATGATTGACATCTATGTCCCAACTTGAGGGAGAGTGTTGAAAGCTTGTATTTTCCTAAGTATAGTACCACATGGGTACTATTGTACTTTTACCCTTTTATTTTTTAGTTGTTGTCACCCTAGTATATATAACAAAATAGTTGGCGCCACCAGCATGCTTTTTGACTCTCAATCTTTTCTCCTCTCTTCTGCTCTCTCTCTTCTCTCTCTCCTCTCTCTTCTCCTCCTCTTCCATCAATGCACTGATAACATCATCCATGGAGTACTCCTTGAAGGCCTCCATTATAACATCAGGCCTTGTAGCTAGCCTCATTTTGTTTTATACCATTAATACAATACCTTACTTTTTTTTTATAAAAAAAAGGTCTCTTCAATGTTTTTAAGACCAAATCCATATTCATTTTGAAGGCATGGCCGTTCATAATTTTTATAGATTAAGGAGCAGTTAACCGGTTAAGAGAATTAAAACAATTCAAAACCACTGACCAGGGACCCTGGCCTACACTGAATTTCATGGTTTAACTGCTTGGTCTGGTTTCTCAAACATTGGGTTTTGAATTACCAACAGAATACAGTTTCCAAGCATTTACTTTTCACAGGGAAAATCACTTTCTTTAAATCATAAATATGTAAGAAAGAGACAACAGTACCTTTGAAAACAAAACCAGGAAGGCAGGAACATCAAAGATCTGATCTCTCATATTCTTTATGCAACATTTGGGCTCTTAATTCATAAGATTTTAAAGGTATTTCTTTCAATGATCTTCAGAGAAATTTAGCAGATCTCCTCTACTCCTGGAAGTGGTTTAACTCATACACTTTTTACTAGGGAGGAGTGACTGATAACTCTAAGCTTCAATGGTAGTGCTCAAAGATCCACAGGTCAAGCAGGATTTGGAGGAGTAATCCATGGGAGAGGGGGGAACATCTATTGGAGAGCTGACACTGCCAAGGCAGAGATCTTAGCTGCTCTCACAGGTCTTCGTTATGTCAAAATGCTAGGCCTTTCCTCTCTAATCATCAAAGGTGATTCTGCTAATACGATAAAATGGTTAAGGGAGAAGAACGGAGGGTCTTGGAGGCTTGCTCATCTGCTGACTGAGGCTAGAGATATTTTGGATTCTCTGAATGTGAAGCTGATTTGGATCCCTAGGTAACTAAACTCCATAGCTGACAGCTTAGCCAAATCTGGAGTTCATAGAGAATATCTTAAGGCTACTGTACTGTACATCTTTTTTTGATCAGTAAAAAAGATTTCATTATAAATTTAGAAAAATTACAGAAATGAGTAGCCTCAGCTACCCCACTAGAATTTAGAGTTTGCCAACTATCGACTTTTAATTATCCAGCCTTACAACTGAGCCCAGAAACAATGTTCCTTGTTAACCCCATGTTTTGCTAGCTGATCTGCAAAGCTATTTGCCGCGCTTGGAGTCCACTGTATTAACAACTGCATGTCCTTGGAAAAGCATTTAAACTTCTTAATTTCATTTCTATAGAGCCAGGGAGTCTTTTCATTTTGCTTTAACCAGCTTATGACCACTTTGGAATCACCTTCCACAACCAGTTTTCTCATTCCCAATTCCATAGCCTTTTGTATCCCAAAAGCCACTGCCTTTAGTTCAGCTGTAGTGGAGTCTCCCCTTCCAATAGGGCCTGAGAACATCCCCACCACAGCCCCTTTGTCATTTCTTATCATCCCTCCAATTCCAGATATTCCTTCCTGGGTTGCCAAAACCATTTCCATCAAAGTTTAATTTGAGGAAGCCAGAATCAGGGGGATCCCACTCTCTTAAAACCTTCTTTTTAGTTGATGAAGAGGAAGCTACTGTCCTCCAATTTCTGAAGATATCATCCACAGTAAAATCTGATAACAATCCCACAGATTTTACCCACAAAATCACCTTTATCATGATCCCTTCTATCAGCACTTCCTTGCACCTCTGCTTTTCTTCAAAGATTCTCAGATTTCTTTCCTCCCATATCACCTAAAGCACTGCTGCCCGAGTGCATCTCCATAGCATTCTACTTCTCATGTTTCTGTTCTCTAAATGAAAATTTCAGTCAAGTTTTCTAAAAAAATCATAAATATGTAAAGAGAACTAAAAGAACCAAAAAGAAGAAAAAAATTGGAGACTAGTTAAAAAAATAAAATAAAAACAAAGGATACAAAAATTGAAGATATCATTTTGACAGATGGAGTATTATCACCCTTGAATCTCAATATACTTAGGTAGCAAAATTGAATCAAGATTCACAAGTAAAATAATTGAAAAATAAATTTGGTCTGAGTTTCAAGAACTTTTTATTCTACCCATTTCCTTTTCCATGCTGAAACATTTCACAAATATTCCCAGAGTTAAATACGTGCAACTCCAACAAGGTATTATAATGGCCCTGCTCTATTTCCTCCTCTCTCACCTGATGAAGAAGTAGGAGTTCAATTATGAAATCCTCCCAATCAATATTACCTCCTTTTGATTGTTGACATTGTTGCTTCCTAGCTTCCAAGTCTTCTAGAAGGCAACTATCCTTCTTTTCACCTGAAACAGTGCTGGGAGGTCCCATAATCTCATCAATTCGCAGCTTAGCTGCATCTATCTTTTCTCTCCTCCTTTTGCATGCCAAACTACCAGTAATGAAAGATGGAGGCAAGGCATTAAACCCCACATTCTTCTCCAAAATCTGTTGAAGTGAGAGCTTTTTGCTCAAATCTGATTTTCCACTCCACCATTCCTTGCTTTCTCGATCTTCATATCTCTTCCTATTTTTTTGGTGATCCTCACCATTTTCACCTACATTCTTAAAGTAAGAAGATTCTTTTGAGAACTTTGAATAAATGCCTGCCAAGCATTCTTGTGACAGCTTGAGATTCTCCACATCATCATAACTCAGATATGGAACTCTGTTTCTGTCTTCTAGCTCAAAGTACTGAGAATCATTAGTTACATCTTCTAAATTGAACCTGTCAGGTTCTATACTCTTCCTCTTAATGTCTGGCTTCAATCTTGACTTCATCTCCATATATTGAATCACTAAAGGTGCATTTTTTACTATATTCTTAACTGTCACATCTTTTCCCCATGGTAATTTTTGAGCCACCTTTACTAGTGTCTCTTTGAGCTCTTTATGCCTCTTTTTGGATGTGGCGACTGTCGAATGCACCTCCTTTGCTATATTTTCAATTTCAACATCAACTTCATTTAACTCTGCTACAAATTTCAGGATAGCAGCAACTATAGGAAGAGGCCTCCTTCCTGTTGTCAAGAACCATTTAACTGCACACTGCAGAAGAAACCTTCCCTGTTTAACCATCTTATCCATCACATCCTTTGAAAATCTGGAAAAAGTAGGGCAGATCCTAATTGCATGTTCGAAAGAGGTCACAATATCAAATTCAGGCAACTTCAAATCAAGAAAATCGACGACACGAAAGATCATCCGGCCAAGCTCATAAACATCACAACCAATTATAGAGGCAACTTCTGCAATAGAAAGGGGTCTGCTGTTCTTTCTCATCACAACATATGAACAAGCACCCACGAGAACAAGGAACCACTCTCCACCACCGAACTCTTCATCAGTAATTTGCTGGATCATTCGTTTTACCTCTGCAGAAGTTGCAGCTGAGAACCCTAGTTTTAAAGCAATATCTTCAATATCCTTATCAGCTTCATAGAGCTTCTTCTCTTTATAACTGTATTCACCACTGGCAGAAGCACCAACACGGACAAAGGTGCCCTGGGGGCCATTGATACCTCCAAAACTTGCTTGGAAATTGTCAAGTTCTTGCACAATACCACAATTCTTACAGACCAAGGTGTCGGTGAACTCATCACGTATGACAGTCTTCTTATTGCAGCTCTTGCAGGTACGGGAGTTCTCCATCCCTGTGCAACCAAATTAAAAGGAAGTTATAGTTCAGGCATTTCTTTGAATTACTTGAGGGGCTAGCAAAAGGTTTTGAAAATATGCAACAATCTCCCTCTGCCCATTTTTTGACGATGATGAAAGATAACTGATTGCAACTGAAAAGGTTTCAAGCAATCAATAACATTGGAAGAAAAGAAAAAGATAGTGACTAATTATCAATCTCCAAATCGATGGATTGGCAAGCAAACAAAAGAGAGACTGGAGAAATTCTAACCAGTCAGAACATTTACTACATACAAAAATAGGAGAGAAATCTTGCAATTCAAAGAAATTGCAAGATTAGATCTCATGCTAATGTTGACGCTAACAAAGATTAGATCTCATGCTCAATATCATAAGTCAAGACCAGATTCATCAAATAGAGACCAATTATAAGACAAAAAGAAGCTGTTTGCTCCAATAACATGGTCCAATCTATTACACACGCAAAATTGAATAAAAAAAGGAAAAGAAAAAGGAAAAAAAAGAAGGGGCAAAGCAGAGTTGCATAAACCTTAGCCGGAGAAGCACTGGATCTGCTCCTCATGCATTGGAAACATCTCCCGTACTTATAAATTATTAATTCACGGGAGATATTCACAATGCACGGTGGATGTACATGTGAGGCGCCCCCGTGTGAGGAGCATATCCCGTTCCGGAGAAGAAAGGGAAAACAAATAAGGCGAGTTCGTGTTCTGTGCACCCGTTGGTGCATTGAACGCGTGAACCCGCGAATGGAAAAAGGACACGTCGACCAGGCCAACGTTAATGCGCGTTTGAGCGTTAACGTGGTCTGGTCGGTTCACGCGGATGCAAACCGGTTCGTGCGACACGAACTGGTCTGGAACTCAGACAAAAGGGCTTCATTTCTTCGATTTTGTTTCCCAACACCAAACCCTTCCTCCATCGGCGGCGGTAGAGCTTCGGCGGTTTATCGACGGTGACAACAAACCCTCCAGCGGCGACGTGTTCTTCTCCTCTTCTCTCCTTCTTCTTCTCCTCTCCATTTTATTTACAATTACGATATTTTTTAGCTTAGTACCAGTTAGAGAGAGAGAGAGAAATGGGGTTATGGGTTATATAAGAACATTGATGAAGGTCGCAAATGGTACTAGAAATTAGGGTTTGAGTCAGAGTACGAGGTTAGATTAGGGTTCACGGTTTTGGGATTCGGTTCTCCGATTACGGTAATTTCTTGCAACTTCCTTTTTTTTCAAATTTTTTTTGCTTTTCTTTTCAAGGGTCAATAATCGAGTATTTTATTGTTTTATTCGTGGTATCAATGGATTTCTTATAGGTTAGAACTGAATTGATTCGATTCTTATCGGATTTTCTTGTTTTGGAGAAAGTTTTCGAGTTTTATCCGTGGCTTGATTCAGTGTTCTGAGTTTCATTTTGAAGAAATCTTAGCATTTTTTAATCGTTTCATGCCATTGTTCCACTTCTCTGTACTTAGTTCTGACCCTTTTCCATTTTTGGTTATAGATTTGTGGGAACTCGTAAAGTTAAGATTTTGGTCGATGTTTCGTTTAGCAGAAATGAAGACCCTGTTTTTCTGTAATTCTCTAAGCAAAACTTTTTGAAACAGTAGAGCCATTCGATCTCATATTCCTGTTTTATTACTGCTTTTATCATTTTCATTCTGTCTAGATCAGTTCTAAAAAGAACTTGTATTTGGGTAGGTCTTTTAATTTAATTTTTGCTTTTAAATCTTTGTGAGAAGTACAAGTATGGTGTCTAAATCTTACTCGAATCTCTTGGAGCTGGCCTCCAGCGAGCCTCCGTCGTTCGGCCGAATGAGCCAGCGAATTCCACGTATAATGACGGTCGCTGGCATAATTTCAGACCTCGACGATGACCCAGCTGATAGTGTTTCCTCTGATCCTTCTTCTTCTGCTCCCCGTGAACGAATCATCATTGTAGCTAACCAGCTCCCAATTAGGGCTCATAAGAAACCAGATAATAAAGGCTGGACTTTCAGCTGGGAATGAAGATTCACTTCTTCCCCAGCTGAAAGATGGGCTTGGGGACGAAGATGTTGATGATGTTGTGGTCGCCGGCCCTACCACCGGAGCTACTTGTCGAAGAAGAAGAGAAGAACACGTCGCCGTTGGAGGTTTCTTTGTCACCGTCGACAAATAATAAATACATTACTATTAAATAATAATAATAATAATTATTATTTTTAAATTATAAATATTATCATTTTAATTTAAATAAATAAGAATATTTATATAGTAATAAGAATATTTCATAATATATTTATTAATAACAACAAAAATGCTTTAAATATTATTTTTAATTAAATAATAAATAATTATTTATTTCAAAAAATATAATATTTGTTTATTAATAGAATCCTATTTTAATTTAATATTCTTTTTTATTTATAATATTATTAAATAATCTATTTACAAGGGTAAAATAGTAAATTTCACAATTTCAGATGTTGGAGAATTGCTCCAACTCAAATGATCTTATTTTTTCAGAACCTCTAAAAAGCATAAAAACATTTCTATTTTTTTTTTAATTTCAGACCCTAATAATATCTTTTAAATTTTCAGATTTTAAATTTATCAAACCCACCTGTATATCACTGCCCCTTCCAGGGTTGGAAGAGTCTCATCAAAGGTAAGATCCTTTTCCATAAGAGAATCATCTAGGGAGTAGGGAGTAGGGATTAATGACTCCATTAATATTTGGGATGACCCCAAGAGCCCATTAAGAAAGGGAATCATCCCTGGCCACAAAATCCTTGCCCCCAGGCCGAAAGGGGACTATTAAGAAAGTCCCAGATTCAATCTTCCTGGACGACATGCAAACATCATGAGGTTAGAGGAAATGTTGTCCCCCATGGAGCCACTGCAACCATTCCCTTTAGCCATAGCCCAAGGCCTGACAAAATTATATGGCACTTGCGAAACTTGGGGAATCCAAAGTCAAATCAGCTTACCACCTTTCCTAAAACCTATCCAACAGGAACCTTGCCCTGGCCTTCCCCATCCCATATGATCCTGGGAGATCTTTTTCGGGTCCTTTGTATCTCTCCAAAAATTATCAACTTTGTTTGGCGTCACGTTTCCAACGCCTTAGCCTCTTGCTGCTCATTAGATCTGTTCATGGGCCGGGCCGGGCCGGGCCGGGCCAGGCTCGGGTTGGGTTTCGTCTCTTTATTAACAAAAAAATGTTAGGTCCGAGTCCGAGCCCGGCCTGACCAACGAGCCTACAACTTGGGCTCGAGCCCAGTCCTGATAAAAAGCCCGAAGTCTGAGCCCGACCTAATAAAAGAAATTCGAATTTTTCCCTATTCAAATAGACATTATCTATTTTAATTCAGATGTTTTTTCTCCTATTTAAATGAACAATGGGCCTACAAGTGAATCAACAACCTTCTCAAATAAAAAAATTTATTCAAATGGACATCACATAGGGTTTTTACTTAGGTTTAACTATAGGTCGGGCCGGGCTATTATGGCAAAACCCGAGCCCAGCTTGAATTTTATGTGGGCTGGGCTTTTTGGCCCGAGGTTAAGCCTACGGGCCAAAAAACCTGTTCAAGCCCGTCCGGGATAAGGGTGTGGACTAGTTTTGGATTGGACCCCATCCAGTCCAAAATCAAATTGGACAGATTGGATGCACCAACAAAACATATTAGATTAGACCAATCCGATCCAAAATATTTATTAGATTGAATTGGACCTGGTCCATCCATAATAATTTTATATCAGACTGGACTGAATTAAGCCAATATCTGGTCTGTTGATATAAAATAAGAATATAGGTGTCAATGGACCAGGTTCGGGTTGAAACCAATCTAAATTAAAAAGAATTTAAACAGATTGGATGGTCCGAGCATTGAATTGGATCGGTCCAAAATATTTATTGGATCAAATTGGACCTGGTCCATTTGTAATGGATTGACACTGGACTGGATCGGATTGGACCAAATCCAGTCCAACTGACCCCTACATGGAGTCCACATTGACCCCAATGCCTTTACTGTGGCAACGAGGAGGAAGACATCCAATACATCCTACTCCATTGCCTAGGGCAGTCTGGGTTGGTAGTTCACTCTCCTTAAGAACAGAGAAATCCACCCCCCCCTTCCCGATAGCAAATCGGATTCTCTTAGTTTGAGAATTGCAAAGAGCCTCCCTCCATTCAATTCTTAGTTGGGAGATTTGGAAAGGAAGAAACAAATTCTTGTTCAACAGTATTGATAGCTGCCTTGAACAAGTCATCTCAAGAGCCTCGCGACTCCTAAACGAGCTCCTTGCCCCCTAAAGGATAGCTTAGAATCAACACTGGTGCCAACTTTATTCATGACTCTCTCCTAGTTGGCCTCGCTTGTATTGCCTATGACCACATTGATCTCTCAGTATCAAAGTCGTGTTGGAATTTGATGCCAAAATAGTCATCTCTACTTTGAAGTATCCAAGCCAAGCAGTCTATTTGCACTATGCAAATATCCTTGAAGTCATTTGAGACATTAGATTTGAAGTTCTACAACTAGAGTGAATTGGAGCTTGAGGTCGTTAGAAAGGGGGGCATGATTCAATTGGAGCTTGAGGTCGTTAGAAAGAGTAACTACTCTTAATCCAAAATTGTGGTTAAGCATCTTCATCATTTCTACATTCGGAAAGTTGATTATCTATACTACAATCATTTGTTCTCCTTCTTGTATGTTCCCCATTTGATTATCTGGTATCCATTCCATCTATCCACATAAAACAACTAGGTTTTATTTGTAAGTAATTTTGTATTAATATATTGCACAAGATGAATAGCTTAGTTCATGTATGACATTTATCTATTCGGCTCTTATGCAGCTGAAACGCCGGATTCACCCAAGCACCACAACTGCATTGCATCCCTGCCCAGTTGAAGGATCCCAGCCGAGCTTTGCAACCCATGCACTGTAATTTGTCTTCCACACAACCTTCTTCAACTGAAAGTCCGAAATGCAGAGCTAATGAGCCTGATTAGGGGAGAAATTTAAAGATTGTCATAAAAATATATTGGTCAGAAATAGAACATCACCTGATTGCATCCACTTCATGGGTTCAACGAAAATGGAGGTGCACTCAGGTGGTTCCTTTTGACATTCCCATGGAGCACCATCTCTCTTTTTCCACTTGAAGCATTTTTCACCTTCACCACGTTCATGAAAAACCAAATTCTCCTGTGCAGCAACAATTCTTCGACATTTTTTGCACCGGTATATTACTTGGGATTTGGAGTCAGATCCCACATCTGAATTATTAGCTGTTGCCATGGTAATACGTATTTGTCCTGCGCATAATAAACAGATGTGACCAAAATAAAGAAACTTCTTACTGGGGAAGAAAAAATAAAGGGCAACCCAAGCACAACAATTCAAAGATGCAATTGAGATCACAATTGTCACATAGGAAGAGAAAGAGACAAAGGTTAGCATCTTCTAAGTTGGGTCATGGATGATAAAGAAAAGCCTAGATGCATTTTCCAAGAAATGTGGATAAAAAGTTTTCTGGGTAGATATAGTTAGATCAAATCTAAATTTATGATGCCCAGATACGGATGCAGACAGAGATTCAGATACAGGAAACTGTTAGGATTGTCCTGCTTTTACAAAAACGTGAAATTAGAATATATTTCGATGGGTGTGGTCTCCTTAGGAAAGAATTTTTTTTGCATATAAAAAGGTTTCCTTCCTTTGTATCTAGAAATTCTCTCTTGAGGAGAAAAGAGGGAGATCTCTTTTGAAGAAAAAGAAAGGCCAAGAGAAAGTGGATGCTCTTTGTAAAATAGTGGTTTTTTCTTCTGCAAGGATTCTTTGGGTTTGAGAGAGAGAAGGGAGAAAGGATGTACAAAGGTTAAGGGTTGCTTTGGGTTGTACTGTTTCTCATCCTTCTTCATTGTAAAGAATGGATCTATCTTCCCTGTGGACATAGGCATAAGACCTAATAACCACATAAGCCATTGTCTTGTGTTCTTTTTTTTTTTTTTCTGGATTCATTTATATTGGTTTGCCTAGGTAAACCTTTTATTGTCCCATAGGAAGACTCAATTTATGAGATTACCTACTGGAAGATGCATAGGTAAATTGGGACTTACAAGATTTACCTATAGGCAAATCTTCTTGAGCCTACACCCAACAAATGTGATCTTAAGGCTTCTGGTTGTGTACAGTAAAAATGGGGGATATGAATCATATGTTCTCCATTTCCTAAAATACAAGACATGGAAGCAGGATACGGGCATGGGTATCCCATGCAGTATGCATAAATTACATGTTTAAGGGCCTGTTTGGGAGGGCTGAACTGAAAATGCAGCTAAGTAGGTTCAACTGCTTTGAAGTGCTCCAGATGAGCTATTCAAAGAGGACTGGCACCTGATATGCTAGGCAGATATGATACCGATACGCTAGGCAAATATCATATCCAATAAGTATCAGATATGATACCGATACACTAGGCATGTACAGGTATCCACGTAACAACATAGATCTACATTATGTCAATGACAATAAAAGAGAAGTTTTAAGATACCTAACTAAACATTAAACATTAAGATGGTACACTCGTATTGCAAGGTATTATCGAACACCAAAAAAAAATGTTTTGGAAATGGCAATAAATGGATGCAAAGATGTTCACTTGTAAGGTACATATTTATATTATTGCAATTGCTTTTATCTCCAGCTTTTGAATTTTGATGTCCGCTAATAAATATTAGTGGAAGATGTATTAATTATTATACTCAAGGTATAAGAAGACAACCACCCATGTCTCATTCTGCCCATTCTTTTTCAGAATCGATAAGAAATGAAGCTAGTGGCAGCGGAGTTCACATCTGCCCTCACAGAACGCACCCCAAAAATGTCCAACATCCCAATCATGTATGAGAACATTTCCCAATGACAAGTACAAGAAACGTTCTCAATGCACGCTGAGATGTGCATGTAGGGCGTTTTTGGGGCCCGTTTTGTGGGGGGCAAATGTGAATTCATGGCAGTGAACCAAACATGCCTAAGAACTCAACTGGAAAGGATTAATGAGAACCCTTCTTGCTCGTTGGAGTTCAGGAAGAATGTTTAGCAAGTAGAAACTTAAAAAACAGAGAAAACATCAAGATGTCTTGGTTTCAAAGGCTTCTGCTACGCTAAAAGGGAATCTCTTTGGGATTACACCAATCAGGAAGGTTTCAAAGGTCAAGAAAGTCTCAAGAAGACTTTAGTGGTTTAGAGGTTCAAAGGTTGTAGTTTCTAAAGGCCTCCTTGTTGTTGGTTTTGTCGAGTGAGGTTTGTTCTCAAAGGGTTTTAAGTGATTTTGTTAGGGTTGTCATTGAGTTTTAGTTTGGATTGGGCTGTTTGGGGTTTCTTTGTTGTTGAGGGGTTTTGTTTTTGGTGGATTATAGGGATTCTGGGTCCTGGTGGTTTTTGTTGAGGTTTGATTAGGTTGGAATGCTTGTTTGGGTTTTGAAGTTAGTTTTTCTTCTCTCTCGAGTGACTTCTGGTCACACTCCTCTGTAATTTCTTTTTTTTTCCTTTTAATAAATATGCATTATATATATAATATATGATATATTATTTATTATTTAAAATATAATATTATATATATATTTATAATTCTTTATTATATATATTTATAATATATATTGTAAAAATTAAAAAACCAAAAAACTGACGAACCGAACCGATGGTTAACCGATTGGCTTCGGTTTGGTTTCGGTTACCGGTTTTCCAAAAACCGGTAGTACCGGTTCGGTTACAAAAAAAGGCCCACGGTGCAGTTAACCGAACCGTGAGCACCCCTATATCTGAGTACATAGCTAGCAACTCCATTAAACGCTTACAGATCTAAAAGCCAATTAATAACCCTAGTTGTTTCCTCTTGAACCATTTGAACCCCACCCATTGTCTGTTGAGAAACTTAGATGTATCTTCATTTTGTCAAGGGAAAATTTCAGATTAGTACCCTATACTTTGGAGGCCCAAAGTATAGGGTACTAATCGGGAATTTTCCCTTTTGTTAATGTTTAGGAGGTCTTAACCATTGGAGGCTTACTTTGTAAGTTCTTAGATAAAATTTAGTCATCAATTTATTCTTTTAATCCTAGAAGTTTAAGTTTTACACAACATGGTATAAAGGACTTTTTAAATTATCCAATTTCCTTCAAAATTTTGTTAGATAACAATGAAAAAGCATTGTAAAATCTCAGGCTGGTAGGTGTGAAGAAGGGTTTGAGTATGAGAGTAGGCACTCTGTGAAAAAAAGCTGCCAAAGGTTATCCAATCCACCCCTCCCACTGTCCCACAACCCCATATCACCGGGACTGACATTTGGGTAGTGGCCTTTTAATGGAAAAGCATAACTTCTCAATCCAATTTAGCAATTCACAAGTGATTTTTATTGAGGGGAAAATGAACAAAAAAATTTGCTTAATAAGCATTGAACAAAGTATTGCAATTTGAATGGGGCTTATGATTACACAGGGATCTGTGGGGATGAAACCATGCTTTTACTTTAATAAAGGGGAAAAAAAACTTCTAATGATACTTTTGTTTCCTTTACTTTTTTTTTTTTTTTAATGTGAGAATATAAGGGGTGAATTGTTTCAAAAAGTAGAGAACTGTCCTACAATGAAATGTTGCACTATCCTGAGATGTATACATCTTTGAAACCATTGTTGCAGGGATGCCCATTGTTCTTCTTCCAGATATCACACTCACAATGAAAGATGTAAAGGATTCAAAATTCATGAACCAGGGACACGTGTCAATTAAAGTTTTGACGTTATTACCAGTGAAAAGATTCGGAAGAAGTTGGATTAATTAAACAAGTAAATTGATGTGATGGTGCCTTTATAAATATGTGGAAGGCAAGGCCCCAAACTGACCTAATTCAAACATACCACGCAGCAAATGAGTATAGGTTTTGATTTTAGCTCTGTAATGGGCTATAAGAAGGGTTCAATGATAAAGTAGGGTGTAGTAATTTAATAGAAGGAAGACAAAGTTGGACTATTAACCATATATGTAGAAATGCTAGAAATCAGAAACAAATAAGTACAAGAGCGAATAAAAAAATAAAGGGCCATAACTTGGTGTGATGGTGAGAATTCGGAGTGGCAAGCATGAGAATGCTAATTAGAGTTTGAGAAAAATGTTAAAGGTTAGGACTTGATTGCATATATACTTCTGTAATAGAGAAACCAGCATAAATAGAAGAACATAATTAAAAGAGAGGTGAGAGAAATACACAATCACCCAGCTAGCACCTTGTATAGTTTGACACCTCCTTCTCGAGGGGAAAAAAGAAAGGAAGAAATAAAAGAGTCCTAAAAGACCATGTATTGCATGGACTTTCTTAAATGGATAAAGTACATGTGTTGAACATGCCTTGGACTCTAACGCCCCATGGATTCTTGAAGGAAAATTATATGTAACATTTTTCTTTTTCCTTTTGGATGTGCATATAGTTTCACGTTTTCTGATGGAAAATCCTGAAAGCAATATCAAATATAATTTAGAATTACACTTTTTTTATTCCTTCTTCTATCATCATCAACCGGAACATGTTTTCTGATGCTTCTGCTACAATTAAATCAGTAATACTAACAAACGGTTGGTGTTCATAAAATCAACCAAGTACAGCTTATCCCTAAGCATGTAATATCAATAGGTCAATTATAACTCAGTCGATAAGACCAAAATCTCCTCGGAAACAGTTACGAAGATCTACCAGTCCAATAGAATCAAACTTATGATGCAAAATGCGAGCATTTGCTTTATTAATCCAAAGAAATAAGCTTATCTACATTATTTCAGGCATCAAAACAATGCCTCAACTATCTATTGTATTGAAAAATATTTGAAATCGAACAATAAATGCGGCTTCGTCAAAAATCAAACTATAGAAGTTATGACCACGAAAACCCAATGATAAGAAGCCTACCTTCGTACCCTGAGTGAGGGGAGTTTCCTTCTCGCAATCGCAGGCTCACTCAACTTCTTCCTGCTCGCACTCCTAATAGTGCTCCCATTTTTTTTTTTTGTTCTTTTGATAGGTAATAATACTCACAATTGGCTGTCATTCTGAACGTCCATACACATAAATCGACGGTTAATGATGACTTAGTCCTGGAATACACGTGTGAGTTGAAAAGAGTTTATTAAAAATGAGTCATTTACTGTAACACCCTTATAGTTTTGTGAATTTAGTTAAACATACCCTACATTTTCATTTTACTGAAACGTTCTCAATAAGGTAATAATTTGCATCTTGTTTACTTTATTGTTTTACCATATTATCACCTACTTTGAAGAGAAAATGCTCAAGGGCATGGGCCTATAATTATTTATTCAAAAATACCCCTAATGCTTATTTGCAATGTGTTTTGAACCGTTGTTGACTTGGTAGGTGTTTGGCATTGGTGCCAAGAACACTGTACAATTTTCTCATAAAAATGGTGTTGGGCATATGTGAGTTGTAAGAATTAGATAATGCCACATCATTGCATTATTGGTAGCAAATGGGTTATTTTTTGAGAAAACATTAAATTTGGCATTGCTTTCAATGGTTTGAAGAAACGTTTATTTTTTTTTCCTGAAAAAGCAATACCAAATAAGAGGTCATTTTATTAAGCACCGCCTTTTCTAATATGGCATCATTTTTTGAAAACGACATCGATGCCAACCAAACACCTATTCGGACAGTCAAACCATTCAACCCAAGAACCATCCAGACAATCGATTCCATTTTACCCCAAACTTGGTCATTGACAAAAAAAAATGTTGATTGGTTAGCAACCCATTGACCCGGTCAGTTGAACCACCAACTTGTTCAACAGTTGGGGGCCTCTTATTTTAACTTTTTATTGTTTAAGTTGGAAATTGGAACAGATTGTCCATTTGAATTGGAAGGTCAAACCATCAACCCATAAAAAACGTTGGCCAGAACGATTATGGTTCTAGGTTGATTTTTAAAACCTTGAAACAAAATTGATGTAAATAGAATGGTTGTTAGGGTTAAAATGATATTTTTATTTTTTAATTAAATTTATTCAAATGGACATTAGGGTTAAAATTGTCATTTTCTATTGTCAGCTGATGAAAGATTTATTAAGTAAATTGATTACAACTATAAGGGTATTTTAATAAAATGCAAAATATAAAATAAATTTATGAAATTATAGGGGATGTTTTAGTAAATGACTCGTTAAGAATGGTGCAACTTTGCAAATGGACAAGATCGTGATCCGTCCAAATTCAAATCCAATCCTCTATACATTTTCTTTCAAAATTTCTTTTAATAATTTGTTAATATTTTTTTTTTCAAAAATTAAATCAGATTGAATTGTATTTAAATATCCTTAATGGATTTGAATTTGAATTAACCTTTGTAAGATTTAATTAGAAACACACTAATTCAAATCCAATCTAATCTATTTACATCCGAAAAGCGAGTGTAGGCCATTACATATTGCCGTGCTCTCGTTTGCCTCCCACGGTTGAGTGGTTTGCACTTATTGATTCTTGCGGTTTTGTTGATTATCCATGATTGAATGGGTTGGGTGAGAGCAAATTATGTTAAAAGATGAAGGGCTTTTAATGTGATACATCCAATGTGGTGGGGCATGTCAACCTTGATGACCGGCTTTCATTTGAAAGAGAGTAGAGGATGCACTCGACGTTTCACACGTAAGGCTGTACTTAGTTGCAGTGCAATTTCATTTGCATTCATGCAAAATTATGATAGTGCAAATGATTTGGCTATAAAATTTGATTTATTTTTTATTTAAAATTTTATCTTTTTCAGTTGAATTAAAAATAAAATAAAATAAGACGTGAAGCAAAATAAAATAAAATTAAAAACAAAATTAAACCAAAATTTGTATTTTTTCATTTGCACTCTCATACAAATAAAATTTCACGGCAACCAAATACAAGATAAAGCAAAGATTTGTTGGGATACACGTGTGAGGGGAATACGTGAACCTGTGCGCGTAAGCTGCCCGGGTTTAGTGTATCCTGCATACCTGTTGTTTGTCTATATGGATTTGCTTATATTTATTTCCAAACGTGTACTTGGCCGGGAAAACCAAATAAACCAGAGCCCCATGTCAAAATTCCAAGCTATATCCACCCACACTCCACACCGCCATGGCTCGAGCTTTCTGGGTGCTATCTCGATCAACAGACACGAGTAATGGCTATATGTCATCTAGCCTCTCTCTCCCCTTCTCCCTTTATAAGATTCGCCCCAAAAAGATTATTCCTAAGTTCTCGAGCATTTCCTTCCTCTCTGAAGAACAAGAGTTTCTCTGCTACAACAATGGCGTCTGCTGTGCAGAAGGTAATTAATTCATCAGTTCCATCTACGTCCTATATTTTTCTGTTCTAAGATTCATTTTGTTGATAGAATCTATGGAATACTTATTGCTCCGTCGTCTAGGTCTTGGTTCCGATCGCAAATGGTACCGAGCCAATGGAGGCAGTCATCACGATCGATGTCCTGCGAAGAGCAGGTGCTGATGTCACCGTTGCGTCTGTCGAAAAGCAGCACCAAGTTGATGCCTGTCATGGAGTGAAACTTGTTGCTGATACTCTAATTACTGATTGTGTTGATAGCGTCTTTGACCTCATTTCTCTACCTGTAATGCTCTGGCCTTCTGTTTATCTATATCTTTCTCTCCCTGCTCTTTGTTTAATTGGTTTCGTGGATGAGGGTTTCGTGTTAAGTATCGTTTTATGGTTTAGGGGGGAATGCCAGGCGCGGCCACTCTTCGAGACTGTGCAATTCTAGAAAGCATGGTGAAAAAGCAGGCAGCTGATGGACGGCTTTACGCAGCTATCTGTGCAGCGCCTGCTGTTGCGCTCGCTTCATGGGGTGTGCTCAAGGGGTTGAAGGTAAGAACAAGTTTCAATGGCGTCTTAGTCGTCGTCGTCGTCGTCATAATCATCACAATTGATTGGTAACCAGGACTTTCAACTTTTAACAGGCGACCTGCTACCCTTCGTTCATGGAGAAATTATCATCTGCTGCTACAGCGGTTGAATCTAGAGTCCAGAAGGACGGCCACGCTGTGACAAGTCGTGGCCCTGGTACGGCTATGGAGTTTTCGGTAGCCCTGGTTGAGCATTTGTACGGGAAAGACAAAGCAGATGAAGTTGCTGGACCGATGGTATGATGGCTTTATCTTATTTGACAATTCATTCTTAGATAAAATGATAAAGTAAGGTAGTATTGTTTTATTAATTTTCAACCACAGTTTGGACAATCAATCAACCCAAGTTTGTTATAGTATACTATAGATACTACAAACCTCTTAGCATCAGTTTTTAGTAAATTAGAAACTTGTTTCATGGGTTGCTCTATAAATGTTTACGCTAAACGATGTAGCACTGTTTTTTTTTGGTGGGGATACATCTTGTTTTTTAAAGAACGGGTTAAATTTTGCATGCCTAGCTAAATTGTGAAATAGGTTCAGTTCCTTTGTTCAGCATGGATGCCATTTTTCTGTTCCAATAGGGTTTTCGGAAAAAAGGATATTCGATTTCTGTCCTGGGGAAAGAGTTTGAGAGGACTCAGTGAAGTGGTGTTGTATTTCTTTCTTTGTGCACTGGTGGCAGCCTTATGATGAATTTTCTGTTCATGTGTCAAGGGTTATGTGGTGACAGTGGAGACTTGGGACTATAACAACTTCCCATGGCAAATCCTAAAGCTATGTGTAACGGGAATGTTTTTGCTTGCACTTTGGTGAACCTTATACCTTAGTTTGTGAAATGGCTTATATTTTGGATGTGGGTATGTGATGGTAGAACCAAAGGGCAGCTTCTGCTGGAATAAAGGTTATACTATCTTTTAATCTTGTATTATTAGGTGCCTATCAAAGACATCTCTAGCGTATAGGTTAGAGTTTTAGGTGTGCCATTCAATGAATTTTTTGTTTAACTATGCAGTTTTCCCCTATTTTGTTTCCTTATTTTCTTCTTGATTGTTACTGTTGTACATCATTGTTTTATCATTAACCATCCTTCAAATAATTGTGTCTTTCAGAAATATGATATACCAACCAAACCTTTGTCTTCTTTTGCTATCTAAACTTCTAAAGCTGATACAAACTAGGCTATGCATTTCAAAACTTTTTATGTATCTGACACAGATATAGATATGGTAAACAGGAACATGACTCTCCATTTCCTAAGATTCTGGTCATGGATATGGATGCTGCCATATGGGTATTCCATTTAAGGGTTTATTTTTGCTGATGTGACAATTACTTTTGTTTCAAAACACAAAAATCTTACATATAGGTGAGGACACCCCCTAAAATGCCTATAAAATGTCTTTGTATCTAGTTTTTGAAGCCATCTGTCATTTATCAAAAGTTGCATCTTGACAAAGCTACATAACATATTGATACTTCTTATGGTTTTGTTTTGGATGTATCACTTTTGCTTTTTAAAAGTGTTAATGCTATAGACTGTAGAAGTGTCAACGCATTATCACTGTTGTATTGTGTTGGGAACCAAGGCCCATGCCTCCACTTACTCGCACTTACCTGAGGAAGAACGCACACAAGTAGTTTCAGCACCCAACTGCAACAAGCAACATGTCAGTTGGTCCCTTTGCATGAATTCGTTAGATCTCAGAGTTCGTTGAGATATTTTATAACCAAAACCATTATAAATATGGGTTGGCCGAATGAATGAAACATTGCAAATTGAAACCACTCTTCTCTCTCTCTCTCTCTCTCTCTCTCCCTCTCTTTCTTTCTTTCTCTTTTCTCTTCATTTCTACGTAGGAGGAAGGGTCTCCCTCGAAGAGACTCCTGAGGTGAGGTGCAACTCATCAATTGGTATCAGAGCGTGGTCGGCTAACCTGAACGAGCAAAGATGACCAACACCCGACTGGTGACTCTGGACGAGAGGGTGGACAGGATTGAAGTCGATCTCCACCAGGTGGTCATGGGGCTTAAGGAGATCAAGGAAGCCATGTTAGTAATCGCATCTCAGAAGGAGGAAGCTTCTCCTGCTGCCGGCCGAGAAAGTGACAATGAAGAATCCAGTTGGGGCAGCAGCAGGAGGGGAAATTATGTTCTAGGAAGAATCACCAAACTAGACTTTCCAACGTTGTACGAGGGAGATCCGATTCCTTGGATCTTCAAGGCCGAGAAGTATTTTGAATATCATGATGTACAGGGACTCCAGCGCGTGACCATCACTTCTTTTCATCTGGAAGGGGAGGTGATTTTGTTGTTTCAGTGGTTCTGGCGCTCTCGTCCCCAAATTTCATGGCAAGAATTCACGGAGGCGTTATGCATACGATTTGGTCCTACTGGGCACGACAACTATGATGAAATTCTATCTAGGGTAAAACAGATGGGTGGTCGGAGAAGGCGTTGGTCAGTTGCTTTGTCGGGGGATTGAGAGACGACATCAAGGTAGAGGTGAAGGCTCTTCAGCCCACTTCTTTGTCTGCGGCTGCAAGTCTGGCAAGGTTGCAAGAGGAGCGACTCGACCGACTAAGGAAGGTGACGACTCGACCATCCGAGCCCTTGTTAAAAACTCCATCCTGCCAAGATGGGCTTCTCCTTAGGCCCATGACAGAACCCAACCAAACTGTTGGGGAGCCCAATTGGCCCGCCCAAGGACCCACACTGCCAACTAAGAGCCCAGTCCCCTTCAAATGCCTCTACTGGGCTGAAATGCATGCCCGGCGTGAGAAGGGCTTGTGCTACAATTGTGATGAGAAATTTGGGCCTGGTCACCGATGCAAAACCCAAAGGATGTTCTTGCTGCAATGGGAGGAGACTGGAGGGGAGGAGGAACTAGCTGAGGAGGAAAGGGAACCGGATAGTACTCAATATGACAACCCCGAGATGTCTTTGCAAGCTTTGACAGGGCTGGCATCCCCCAAATCTATGAGGATTGAAGGGAAGCTTAGAGGCCGCTGGGTATCCATACTATTAGATAGTGGAAGCACATTGAATTTTGTCAAACAAGTATTGGCTTGCCAACTAGGCATGACAGTTCTCTTGCTGTTAGAGTGGTGGATGGTAACCACATTGAATGTGAAAGTATTTGTAAAAACAAAAAGCTGGTAATCCAAGAGCACACTTTCATCGTGGACTTGCGTCCATTGTAAAAACGAAAAGATGTAGTGTTGGGTGTACAATGGCTGAGCCAACTGGGTTCGGTCTTTTGTGATTGGGGACATATGACCATGGACTTCTATTGCGGTGGGCTCCACTGCCATCTGCAAGGTCAGGAGATACCCAGCCCACTAGTGGAAGGTCTACACTCCATGATAAAAGGGGGGTTTGGAAAAGAACACCTGCTACTGATGCAGATGGTTCTAGTGCCTATTGGGCCTTTACTTTAGAGACCCAGACCAGCTTCCTCCAAACCGGTTCCAAGACCACTGCATACCCCTAATTCCAAGGGCAGCCCCTACTAATGTGCGGCCCTACAGATACTTGCACTTCTAAAAGACTGAGATTGAGAGGCTCGTGAAGGAGCTCCTGCACAAGGGATGGATACAACCTAGTACAAGCCCATTCTCGTCTCCAGTGCTCCTTGTAAAAAAGAAAGACGGGTCCTGGCGTTTTTATGTAGATTACCAGGCCTTGAACCATATCACAGTCAAGGATAAGTTCCCGATCCCGGTTGTGGATGAGTTGGGGCAAGCCAAGTATTTTTCCAAAATGGACCTCCGATCCGGCTATCACCAGGTCCCGGTCCACCCTGAAGATGTATACAAGACAACCTTCAGAACCCATGATGGACACTATGAGTTCCTAGTGATGCTGTTTGGGCTGTCCAACGCCCCCTTCTACCTTTCAGGCCATCATGAATGATGCCTTTAGGCCCTACCTCTGGCATTTTATTTTGGTCTTCTTTGATGACATTCGGGTATACAACAAGGATTGGGATTCATACCTCCAACACTTGGAACAGACATTGAGCTTGCTGAAACAACATCAACTGTTTGCCAAGCTTTCAAAGTGTGTTTTTAGGCAGACTGAAGCCCATTATTTGGGCCATGTGGTTGCAGCTGGACGGATCATGGCTGACCCAGAAAAAATAAATTGTATACAAGACTGGCCTACGCCCAAAACAGTCAAAGCCCTAAGTGGGTTTTTTGGCCTTACTGGCTACTATTGGAGGTTCATATGCAACTATGGGTCACTAGCAACCCCACTAACTGGGCTTCTCAAAAAAGACTGTTTCATTTGGACAGAGCAGGCCTAGAAAGCTTTTGATTCCCTCAAGCAGGCCATGACCAGCCCACCTGTCCTAACCTTACCAAATTTCGAAGAGACCTTCGTGGTTGAATGTGATGCATAAGGTGTGGGAGTTGGAGCGGTGCTCATGCAAAATGGAAGGCCCATATCTTATTTCAGCAAGGTCCTCTCCACTAGAGCCTAGAACCAGTCAACATATACAAAGGAGCTTATGGCAATAGTGCTGGCAGTCCATAAATGGCGACCATACTTCTTGTGTCGAAGGTTCATAATCCAAACGGATCAGAGAAGCTTGAAGTATATACTGGACCAAAAAACTCCTACCCCAGATCAACAAAAATGGATAATGAAGTTAATGGGCTTTGATTTCTTAATCGAACACAAGCCTGGAGTCACCAACAGAGTTGCGGATGTATTGTCTCGGAAGGCTGAGTTGTCGCTGTTAATACACTCTTAGCCCCATTACCCTCTATTTGAAGCTTTACGAGAGGAGGCTGAGGATGACCCCAACCTTGAAAAGGTGTGGCAAAGCTATTTGCAAGACCCCACCTCTACACCGGGGTACACCATGAAGGGACCGAACTTGTTTTTTAAAGGGAGATTTGTTCTCTCTCCTACTTCAGCGCATTAGAAGACCTTGCTAGAGCTCTATCATGATTCGGTGTTGGGCGGACATTCAGGTGTTTTTTGGACCTATAAGAGGTTATCTTCACATTTTTTTTGGCCCAACATGAAGAAGGTAGTCGAGCAGCACGTAGCACAGTGTACAGTGTGCCAACAACAAAAGTACTCGGCCCAACCCCTTCCTGGGCTCCTGCAACCCCTCCCAATTCCATCACAGATTTGGGAAGTATATCCCTGGACTTCATCATTGGTCTTCCATCCTCTGGGGGCAAGACGGTGATTTTGGTGGTGGTCGACAGGCTCTCTAAGTATGGGCACTTCATTGCCCTATCCCATCCCTACACTATAGCTTCAGTAGCTGAAACCTTCATCAAAGAGGTGACACGACTCCATGGTACCCCCAAATCGATCGTCTCAGATCGGGATCCGGCCTTCCTTAGTCAGTTTTGGAAGGAATATTTCCGTTTACAGGGGGCAATGCTTCATCGATCTACTAGCTATCATCCCCAGTTCGACGGATAGATTGAAGTGCTGAATAGATGCTTGGAAACTTACCAACATTGTTTTGTGGGTTTCAAGCCCAAACATTGGACGAAGTAGCTCCCATGGGCCGAATACTGGTACAGCACTACATTCCAGGCGGTAGCAGGCATGACACCATTCAAAGCCGTGTATGGAAGGGAACCACCACACATCCTTCCATATGAAATGGGTTCAACCGTAGTAGCAGAAGTTGAAGCCCAGTTGCTGGCACGAGATGAGGTACTCAGCCTCCTGAAGGAGAATTTACACAAGGCCCAACAACTCATGAAGAAGCAGTACGACAAAAAAACATCGGGCCGTTGACTTTCAGGTAGGGGACTACGTCTACCTCAAGCTACAGCCCTATCGACAGTCCTCAGTAGCAAAAAGGGCCTGGCATAAGCTCTCTCCTCGCTACTTTGGGCCGTTCAAGATAATTGAGAAGGTAGGCAATGTTGCCTACCGACTGGACCTACCCAAGACAGCTCGTCTCCACCCAGTTTTTCACATCTCCTTGCTTAAGAAGTCCGTGGGGGATCCAACCAAAGTTGGCAGCAGCCTCCCAACATTTACAGAGGAAGGAGACATTACCCTCACACCTGCCAAGATATTGGATTACCGTTGGGTCCATCGCGAGAAGAACATAGTGCAAGAAGCCTTAGTAACTTGGATTGGACTTCCCCTCCATGACTCCATGTGGGAACCGTATTGGCAGCTAAAAAATCAATTCCCAGATTTGGACCTTGAGGACAAGGCCCATCTTGAGGGAGGGGGAACTGTTGAGAACCAAGGCCCAGACCCAACCCAGAAGCCCAGGCCTCCACTTACTCGCACTTACCTGAGGAAGAACGCATGCAAGCAGTTTCAGCACCCAACTGCAACAAGCAACACGTCAGCTGGTCCCTCTGCATGAATTCGTTAGAGCTCAGAGCTGGTCCCTCTGATGGGTTGGCCGAGTGAATGAAACATGCAAATTGAATCCACTCTTCTCTCTCTCTCTCTATCTCTCCCTCTCTTTCTTTCTTTCTCTTTTCTCTTCATTTCCGCGTAGGAGGAAGGGTCTCCCTCGAAGAGATTCCTGAGGTGAGCAGCAACTCATCATATTGGGTACATACCGTGTCTGATATTGGAATGCTAGGCATGTAGAAATATCAAGGGAGCAGTGATTGTATAGCCGGGAACCCTAATTAGATTTATTTGCTAATTATAGTCAAGAATCCCGTTGAGTAATGCCAATCTTATGTTTCTATAATCCTGGCTGGGGGAGAGATGTAGTTTTGTTCTATAGAGTCTTTCTATGTCAAGGCCTTCTGTTTATTTTGTATTTGACTACCATTCACCTTAATCATATAGTAATAGTTTGGGTAGTCCTTGGATATGAAATTTCTGAGGCATTGGGTAAAATAAAATAGTTACTTTCAATAAAGATCAAAGAATATAGGAGTATTGCTTACTTTGAAGTGTCTTGTCCATGGTGCTGCTTACCAAAGAAAATTACATATTACAAATCAAGGGCATGGAATCATGTAAATCTGAAATGGTGATAGATGTAGGCAATGCTTGGTCAGACTGTGCCTGGGGTTTTATTTTCTCTTTCAAAGAAAAAAAAAAAACAAAAGAAAAAAAGAAAGATCTTCTATGCTTTTATGTTTTAAAGACACAGCCCAGTAGAAGCTGAAGCCCAAAAAGACCAAAAAACAGGAAGCTTCAATTGAAGTTTCTTTTTGGCTTTGACCTTTGAGCTTCCATTCTAAAACCTGAAAATCATTCATGATGAGTTTGAGTGAGTATTTTACAGAGTGCAAATCCTTGGGAGATTCTAATATTACCTTTTGAGAGGTGAAAGTTGTATTTCATTGTTTACAGTGGTCACCATTAAATATATTTGTATGTCCAACTGGGGAATCAAGAAATGGGAAAATTTTATAGGGTTAGTATTTGTCATCTATTACAAATACGTACACAAGTGAAGCCAATTCTTGTCTTGGGTTCTGGTTCACTTCAGACTTGATTCAACAGTAAGAGCCAAGGCTTGGCTTGTTGGTGGCCTTATGTGTCAAACTGTCAATGGCATACTTCTTGAGCTGGAGGAAGGATGGATAAAGAGATTATCTTGTAATAGTGGTTATGCTTAAATTATGTCTTTTTGCTTAGACCATGATTTTAGCAGATGCATAATTACAAAAACAGATATGATAATCTTAACACTTGAAGATGATGTTCCTTAATGTCAATTCCAAAATGCATTCAGAATACGATGTTCCGAACCATGTATTTCATTGCTTTATTTATCATTATTTAATACTTATTTAGATACATTTGCCCAGCTTTATGTTTTTTTTTTCTTTTTTTTTTTCTGTCTTTAATCATTGTGCCACATCATTTTCTATGTATTTTTTCTTTTATATTTTGCATGTGTATAATTTTTAATTTTCTGTTTAGGTGATGCGTTCTAATCATGGAGAAGAATATACTCTGAGAGAGGTGAACTTCTTGGAGTGGAAATTCAAAGATACTCCTCAGGTTAGTTGTCTGATTTTGTGCATTTATTCTTGTTTCCTTTTTCGTTTTGTCTTTTCTCATTATTTTCATCTTTGTTGTCCTTGTCTATTGTATATTTGCCTTTCTTGAGGGCATCTTTGTTGTCCTTTGGTTTTAGTCTGAAAACATTCAACATCCATGTATAATTATATGATGCATCATATATTATATTATATGTATACATTATATGATTACATCGTAGACATCATATTTGACCTTACAATTGTTTTATAAATTATTGAAACTAGCAAAGAATTAAATGCAAAATTAGTTTTATGGATAATTGCACTAGAAATATTGATAAAAAAATTGCATTAGAAATAAGAGGTTTTAAAATAAGTAGGACTAAAACAGAATATATGCAATATAAATCTAATAATAATAGGAGTGTAAATCATGGTATGCTTAGGAGTGGAGGCCAAGAGATAACTCAATGTGACCTCTTTCGTTACCTTGGTTCAATAATTCATAACAAAGGAGAGATTGAAGAGGATGTTGCCCATAGAATTAGATCGGGATGGGTAAAATAGAGGGTTGCATCTAGGGTTTTATGTGATAAGAAATGCCACTTCAGCTAAAAGAAAAATTCTATAACATAATTGTAAGCTCAGCTATGCTGTATGGAGCAGAGTGTTGGGCAGTTAAGAAACAACAGGTTCAAAAAATCACTGTAGCAGAAATGCAAATACTTAGATGGATGAGTGGTAAAACTAGAAAAGATAGGATCTTATCAAAAAAAAAAAAAACTAGAAGACAGGATTATAAATAATGTCATACAAAGTAACTTAGGAGTAGCTCCCATAGGTGATAAAATGAAAGAAAGTAGATTTAAAATTCTGTATTGTATGTGCAATACCTTTCTATGGACTAAGTTTGTATTATTTTTTTATTCCCCTGTAAATTTCTCTGAGCAGTGTGGCAGTCTCTTTAGTGAAATATCTCTGTTGCTTTGACAGAGATGATTTAAGTGTGGCAGTCTAATTTTTTTTATTCCCCTTTGACAGCCACCTGTTAGGAAAAGTGGTCTATTACAAGTTGAAGGGGCTAGAAGAGCTAGGGGCAGGTTGAAAGAGACTTGGATGAAAGTAACAAGAAATGATAAGTGTCCATAATTTAATGATGGATATGGCACTGAACAGAATAGAATGGCGAAACAGGATTAATGTAGCGAACCCATATAGTTGGGACAAGGCTTAGATGATGATGTTTTATTTTTGTTCCATTTCTTGTTTTTTGTCCATTATCATATAATCGTGGATATGAGATGTTTTGGACTTGGAAATAGAAGCATATGGCAGTTACTAGCAGAAATGGGGATGAATTTGGATCCTCTATGGCCAACTCTGATTTTTTTGGTACATTAGAAAATCTAACGCAGAGCAGATTTCTGCTGTTACCTCTCCACAATCTATTTATCCGATTGATTATTCTCTTTTTCTTCTCTCCCTGGTATTTCTGCTGTTACGTTTACAGCAAGTTCCTTTAGCCCATGGTTTCCAGTGTGTTATCTTGTTTTTTCTATGGACATATTTAACACTGTAGGGGAAAAAGAATGCCTGACTGCATCATATGTATGTGGGATGTGTCTTACAGTGTAAGCCTATCCAGAGAATCTTTTCTTGTTCTAATTGTGAAAACCCGTTCTTGTCTATAGTAATATCAGTATCAGGAAACAGGAACAGTGCATTTCTCATGTAAACAATTGAATAAATATGTTATTAAGTTCTGTCCATGAAAATTTAGATACTTCTATACTATTCCTGAGAATAGCTGTCTATGATCTTTGGAGCCTGGAGGCAGTTGGATAGGCTATAGACAACGATTGTCTGCAGTGTTGTGCAAACTTCTGTGTGGTGTTTTTTCCCCTCTCCTCCCACATTATATCATTGATTTGATGAGTAGTTGAATTGCCTTTCTGCAGATTCTTGTTCCAATTGCTAATGGCACAGAGGAGATGGAAGCTGTCATGATCATTGATATTTTACGGAGAGCAAAAGCAAATGTTGTGGTTGCCTCTGTCGAAGATAAATTAGAAATTGTGGCCTCACGAAAAGTGAAACTCGTAGCAGATATGCTCCTTGATGAGGCTGTTAAGCTGTCATATGATCTTATTGTTTTACCGGTAGGTTGGGTTTTTGCCATAAAGGCCTGAACAGAATTTTATTACGTATCAGACTGTCTAGAGTTGGCGCCTCACCCTCATGGAGGCCAGAGCCGCATTGCCATACCCCCCGCCCCACAGTAAAAGGCTACCAGACCCATCTTGAAGTATCAAGTATGCGCATGATTTATTCTAATATTCTGAGTGTTTGCAGGGTGGACTTCCTGGTGCACAAGCATTCTCGAACTCAGAGAAGCTTGTAAATTTGCTAAAGACACAGAAGGAAGCAAATAGACCTTATGGAGCTATTTGTGCATCCCCAGCTATCGTCTTCGAGCCACATGGCTTACTGAAGGTATGGTTACCATGTTTTCACCAAGCTGTCTTCTGTGTGGCTTCCTGTTTATGTGAACATTTTCTAGTTGTGACTTGTTGCTCTTCTTAATAAAAAAGGGTAAGAAGGCCACAGCATACCCAGCAATGTGCAACAAGCTTTCTGATCCAAGCGAGGCTGAGAACAGGGTAGTGGTCGATGGCAACCTCATTACCAGCAGAGGCCCAGGGACTTCCATAGAGTTCTCACTGGCAATTGTGGAAAAGCTATTTGGACGCCAGAAAGCATTGGAGATTGCCAGGACTATGGTTTTCACCAAACCATAGAGCTCCTTTTTGGTGGTCTAGATTATATATATAGAACGGGAATAGCTTTAGTGCTGAGTGCATATTCTAGTACGAAAGTTGGTATTGTATAGGACTTCAAGATACCCTGACTTGCATAGTTTGACACAGAGCAAATGGACAGTTCCCATGGATAAGATGTCTGGCTCATCCGGCGCTCTGGTGTGGCAATAAGTTCCTGTGCTTGCTTGCAGCATTAGTTGCAATTCTAGTCAAAGAAAGGACTACCTTTGTGACGACTATTAGTATTAGTATGACTTTATTGTTAATGATGGAAATGAAAATTTTATATGAATGTCAGAGTGTTCCTTCTTTAATTTCACTTCACAAATCCAGTGCTTTGTAGCTGTAGGGGTGCTCCATCAAAAACCGAACAAATTGAACCGAACCAAGGGGGTCGTCATCCCTCTGTTGAGCTTTGAATATATAAAGTCCACAGGATCAGTGTTTATATGTAAGTTGTCAATAAAATTGAAAGATTGCTGTTTAATGCAATATATGCTATCTTATATTCTCTTTTCTTTTGTTTTATGGGGGAGTTAATTTCAGTAGTCTAATTTGGCAATTCCATCGTGTTTTGTACATTAAATATTTTCATCCAAATTCTTTTTTTATCACTTCCCCCATTTTCTTTATAAGCATCCAATTTCATCAGTTTGTGATGCTCCAAATAAATGATGGGTTCATCAATCTTTAATTTTCGTATTAAATGACTTTTCTTCTATATAGCATTTATATATTTCATTTTTAGTTTATTTTTTTTTCCCAAAAGCAACTTCCTGGGTTTAAATTGCTTAATGCAGGTAGTGATCTTATTAAATGCCTATTGATCGAATAGCAAATCAAGAGCATTTGAGGTTTGAAGTGATTTTTCTCTCGAAAATCAAGATTTTTTGTCAAATTCAATGCATGTTTTCTCATGTTGGTGTTTGAGTTTTTCTTTTTCTTCATTGAACAAATTTAAGCTGTTAGGTTGAAGGGTTCCTTGAGATGGTGTTAGGACCTGTTTGCTTAAGTGGTCTAATGCTTGATTTTCATCGCCTATATTATAGTTAATTAAAATTTAATAGAAAGTATGGCTGGTCTTGTGCTTAGTGCTTGTCCACATTTCATTTCAAGCCCAATGGGCTTTTGTGTAAGAGGGCATGTTAGGTAATAAAAAACTTATTCAGGGACCTCACCCAACAATTTAATATTTTAGGTTCAATGGTTCCTTGAGACAATGTAAATCGGCTCCTCTTTAAACAAAGATTTTATTATAAAAAAAAAACAAGGAATTTACTAGAGTTCAACTCATTATCATCACAAGATGCCAACTGGCTGGTTGGTAAGGCCTCTTGCTAGTTGTAGCAAAGACTTGACATCGAATCCTGTTGACACCTAGGTTGGGGGTTTATGGGTTTGGGGATGGCCCCGTTGTAGCCACTTGGAGCCAAAAAGAAAAGAAAAAAAGCTCACTGTTATCAAAACCTTAACCCACCTATATGAGATCGGCATTCATGATCAGTACATGCTGCCACATGATACAATCCTCTTCCTTTATTCACACAAACTCCCACTGGAACAGTAGTTTCTTGTATTAAATTCAAAAACACAGGATAATCTTCTTTTTGGTTGGGTTACTATTGTGCTGGTCAAAAAATGCTATGAACGTCTTTAGAAACCAAAATCCTAATAAATAAAACGTGTTTCATATAAAATAAAACCAAGACGAAAAATAAGATTCAGATTCCTTTCTTTCGATCATCCCTAGGACCCTGTGGATTATGTGGACCCAGAAGGCCAGAAGCAAGGTTCAATGAACACTCACTATCAAATAATTATGACTGAAGATTGTGATTTGTGAGTGACCTTCAATGGAACTAATTTCTTGTTCTTCTGTTCTTTTCCACTATGAGCTATAATAATGCACCAAAGCCCATTAACAATAATGGACCACCATTTGGATGGCCCATAAGCGGGACCGTTAGCATGATATAGGGTGGGCGGAAAGAAAAATCCTAGGCCTGCCATGACCATGACTACCAACTTTTTAGGTCGGTCCCCTGCATTTAAGCCCACTAAAATATTTTTCACCTATAGGACGTAAGTTGTGAATGTCAGCTATTAAGATTATGGATCTTAGCCTTATCATATAAATCTCTTTCAAAAACATTTCCCCATAAGGCTGCGTTTTGGAAATAATGTAAATATGTAGAGTGCAAAAGGGTCCATATAAATTGTAAAATTGGGTTAGTTTTGCACTGACAAATTTACCTTCTTATCTTTTAGCTTTAATGGATGCAAACACAAATTCCAATAAAGCATGTGCCTTTTTCTTTTATCAAAAGTCCACTTGAATGTAAATTTACTTCTTTTTAATTAATGTACATTTACATCTTATTATCAATGTAAATATGCATCGGTCTGTCATTTGTCAATGCAAAAATGTAATGTTGCTAAACACAGGTAAAAGTGAACCAGAGTGTAAATTTACCCTGAACCAGAATTTACACTCTATTTGCATCGTTTCCAAGCGCAGCCTAAATTACAGCTGATAAGAAATATCTTATAATATCAAATATTTTGGGTTGGAAATATTAAAATATTTCTTGTTGCTTATGTTCTAATTATTATTGTGATAAAATAAAAATTAATTAAAACAATTAGGGGTGATTTGAGCTCGGCTCAGCAAAAAAACATGAGTCTCCAGTTTGGGCTCAAGCTCAACTCAAAAGCTCATAAGTTTGAGTTCAGTTCATCTCATGTTTGATAGTGGATCAAGTTTCAAATAAGAAAAGAAAATTATACATATAAAAAATACAAAAATATTATATATAAAAGTTCACAAGTTCAAGTTTAACGAACCAAGCTGTATTGGACTCGAACCCAACCCAATTAGCAAGTGGGTTTATATATTGGGCTCAAATAGCTAATGTAGAGCTCAGTTCATATCCATCACCAAAATCAACTAATGGAATGACGTTCTGAAATGATGCATTTTATGTATGATTTTACTTTATAAAAAAATAAAAGAAAACTAGTATAGATTTTTGTCATTTTAAATCACAATTCTCATGACTAATCGTTTAATTTTGTGAATTTTAAATGGACAGAGAATATTCTATATATTCTATACTTGTGATGTTTCTTAGAGTTTATATATATAAAAAAGATGAAAATCAGACCTTAACATTATAAATTTATAAATTTACAGAAACAGGGTGGTACATCATTAGAGCGCCCGCTGTTTTGTGGCTCTGAAGTCTAAACCATAGTTATACTCCATACATTTAGAGCTGACTTTTGCGGTAAGGTTCTTTTCAACAAAACGAAAGAAAAAAAATGTATTGAGTGTCTATGTGTGTATAGGCAAGCCTAGTTGAACTAATTTGGCTTACAAGGAGAGATAATGTGGATAACCCAGATCATATAAAATAGAGGAATCTATGCATTGGTTATGTATTAACTTCCTTGGTTCATATTGGTCTTAGATGCAGGCATTTTCCTTCAGTGGCAGAGGTTTTGTTAAGGTTCCGTTTGTTTGCGATATAAACACTAAACTGGGGTATTTATGTATTTTGATTTGAGTTTGTGAGCGTTTGTTTGATGCATAAAAAAGTAATGATTATCAGATTAAAAATATATTTTCTGACACTTTTGTACTCTGAAAAGAAAACATTACTGTACCTATTTTTTGGATACAATTTTGTGCTCTCTTGATAATTAACTTTTTGACCAAAGTTAAGGCATTAAAGCATATGATATTTGGAGCATTTAATGATGGGCCCAAACTTTTGCACCAATTTCAAACAAACAAGATGAATGCAAAAACAATTTAAAATGTGAACTGTATTTGCATTCATGAACTAAAAAATGGGTAAATATGTAATGTACATATTTGTGTTTGCATTGCAATCAAACGCAGCCTAAATAACATTTACTGACAGGTTTTATATCAAACTCTAAGGGGTATATTTTAGGGATGTCTAATGTAAATCAGGTACCCGATTTGAAAACACTTATATTGCATCTAACCCGTTTTTGGGTCAGGCCCATTCAAATTTTAACAATACATTAACCAGAGCTCACCCAAATTGCACCCCTCTTGATCAGGTAGGCACAACGTTGTAAGCATGTTCAATGAGCACTTAGGTTGTGTTTGGAAATGATGCAAATAAGTGTGAATGCAAATATGTAGAGTGCAAAAGGTTCACATAAATTGCAAAATTGGGTTAGTTTTCTACTGACAAATTTACCTTCTTACCAAACAGACTTTTAGTTGTAATGGATACAAACATGAATTCCAATAAAACATACGCTTTTTTTTTTTTTATCAAAAGCCCACTTGAATACAAATTTACTTCTTTTTTATTGATGTACTTTTACATCTTATTATCAATGTAAATATGCATTGATTTATCATTTGTCAATGCATAAATGTAATGTTGCAGAATACTGGCAAAGATGAACCAAAGTACAAATTTACCCTGAACCGGAATTTACACTCTATTTGCATCGTTTCCAAATGCAGCCTTAGAGAATTTTTTGACACTTATCCCTTAACATTTAAGTTGTCAGAATACTTATTAAGTACTCATTTAACGTACTTATACCTATTAGATCGGTTTGCTCTGAGACATATTGCAATGGGTTTTAACTGAAAATCGCCAAAGCTGGCAAGATGCAAATGGAAAAGTATTTTTCAGCTTCATAACCATATTGCCACGTGGAAGATTCATGGGTCATTTAGACTTCATACTCGGATTGAGTATTTTTCAAAATATGAAGGGTCTTGCTCAAGGGCGCTGGCCCAATGCAATATAATTTTTCAAATTAGGTACATGACTTACACTCCTAGCCACAACCTTTCTCAAGGGATAAGGAATGGAGAATATTTCTTTATTTTATTATCTTTTTTTTTTTAAAAAAAAGAATGGGGACAAAAGCTCAAATACATTTTTGAGATTCCAACAAATTGCTAACCTCACTCTATTAAATTAATACGAGAAATTCCTCATCATCTGAAGTTCTGAACATTAGTTCATCTATAACTGGTGCATACAAATTAATCTTTGTGTTTTGACAAAAAGAGTTGTGATGTAAGAAGAGACGTGGGCAACTCTTGATGATCACTTGTCATTAATAATTGTTGAAATCTTATCTTAATCAACTGCATCTAGACAAAACGCCAATATAAAATCCCAGCTTTTCTTCAGGGATAGTGCCCTTGTGGAATGGGGACCATTTCAATGGTAGATGATGACAAAGATAAGCCCTCCAATGTATTTAGATAAGTGGGTATTTGGAACATACAATTTCTTTTCTCAAATTTCTATTGTGTTATCATAAAATGGTTGAGAATCTTATTGTCACTGATTGGTCTTTTAAGGTAATGTAAATGGCCGGCTCATCAATCCAATCATATCCTCTTCCTGACTTTTCTTTTTTTTTTTTCTCATATCAATTTAG